CTATGTTAGGGTCCCCTATTTTCGGAAACCCCCATTTAGGTGCGAACCACGCAACAAGGTCCGCATGCAATGTGCACATGTAACCTGGCCCACAATTAACTGTCGTGCCGAAACATGCACAATTCAGTCGGGTCACGGTCCTGTTGCTCCCGCAAGTTCCGGTCTTCCGCATGTTGCGCCTGCACGGGGCTTTCGGAACAGCCTTTCGTTGCCAGGCTCTTCCGCCCGGGCGCGGTCACGAGAGGCAAAGGTAGAACTGTGGGACTTCATCTTCAAGCGCCACAAAGCTTCTGGTTTAGGGTAGGAGATGTAGTCTTGGGATACGGGCTTGCCAGTATTCGGAGGGTTCTGGCGCAAAGGAATCCAGGAAGTCTTGAGGATTCTTGGCTCTCGATGTGCGTCATGTAGAGGAAGGCAATCATAATTTTCTCAGCGCCGATGCGCTAAGGCCTGAAGAAGCTAATAGAGGGGCATAACAGCAATTAGAATGGGGATTTGGAGAAGATCATACTACAACGAAGAAAGAACCCACCCGTAGTATTTTTTGGTTATTTAGGCCCCCATATTAAGCAAGTTTGCCGGTATGGGATAGCTTTCGGAGAAGCAGCCTGCCTTCTGGAACCGCTGTGGCTGATTAAACAAACGTGATGCGCTAATAGGAGCCCCAAACCTCGAATCCAAAATCCTGAACCCTAAATCCCAAAACCTTATTAGCACTAAACCGATCTGAGTTGCTGAATCTTCAACACTTGAGCTTTGATGTGGTGCTCGGCTGCACGACAGGCGAGCAGGACACAACCCAGTACACCCCCCCCCCCGCCTCAGGAACTCGGGTGCTTCAGTCAGCCCTTGAGCAACTTGCGTTTAGGCTTTAAAGGGCGAATGAAAAAGCTAAGCCATCTGAACCCTAAACCTCCTTACATCCTCATCCCCAAACTATACCCTAAACCACCAAAGCTAGTTCAGCCCAAAACCCGTATCCGGAAGACCCCTGCAGATCCCTTGAAGGGAGACCTTACAAATCCCTTAAAGGAAGAGCCCCCTAGATCCCTTAAAGGAAGACCCCTCTAGAGCCCTTAAAGGAAGAGCCACCGAGCCCCCTAAAATCTGCGACCTGTTGGGCGACGATCTCGGCCCGGTGGCTTGCCATCTCCTGCCGAACCCACTTGCTAAGAGGTCTGTCTTGGATTTAGGGTTTAGGGTTTAGGGGGGTAGGGTTTAAGGTTTAGGTTCTAGGGTTTAGGGCTTAGGGGGTTAGGGTGTAATTCAGGGTTTAGGGTTTAGGCTGGCGCAGGGGGCTTGCATGGCTTCTGGCTTATGGGGTTCAGGGTTGGCAGCTCAAGCCATAACTAATAGGACAGAGCTTATACAGGATTCTAAAGAGAACTTAATGGCGGAATGGGGCTCTCGGACTTAGGATACGGTCAAAATACAGGGTTTAAATGGTTGTGGGTTTACACATTTTAGCAGGTGTAAGTAAAGAAAGAGTCTGCAGGTTTTAAGGCTCAGGGTTTGAAGCTTGCAGCCATTTAAGTGTTATCACGAGCTACGATGCAGGAAAACAGTTCGACAAACAGGATGATGACGGCAAAATCATGTAAAAATACCACGGCAACGAATATAAAGGTGATGAGCCGATAATGTAGTCACCATTGCTGCAGCCACCGTCGCCATAGGGAAGTCACATGTCACGGACATCAGCATCTTAAGCTTCGTTTGATTGTATACAACCAGCCAGCAGGAAGGATTACCATGAGCACTGCAGCCATCAAGACGGCACGATATGGTCATGGCCACCCTCATCACCGTCAACACAAGCATTGCCACAACCATGACGGCCAGCGTCGTCATCAAATTGAAATGCTCACCACCAAGATCATCGCTCTCACCGTGGTCACCATCATCACCATCTTCATCAGCACCATCACCGTCATCATCATCATCATCATCAACATCATCATCATCAACATCATCACCACCACCATCACCATTAACATCAATATCATCAACATCATCACCATCATCATCAAAATCATCATAGACACACCCATCAGACTCATCACCATCATAACCATGGTCACATAGTCATCATCGAATCTTAGCCATCACCATTAGCGTGCTGACTGAGTGTGGTCACGGACAGCCACATAGGAACAGAATAAGTGACATCATCACGGCACCCCCACCATTGTCGCTAGCAGCAGCTGCATCAATGACTCATGCTCACCGTCATCGCCGTCATCACCATCAATAAAAAGTCATTATCATCATCACCAGCGTTGCGCCACGAGCTTTTTAGCACCCCCCAACATCCTCGCTTGCTCGACATCATTGGCAGTTTCATCGTCGTCGCCTTCAACAGCTGCATCATAACAGTTGTCATCCATCACCATCATCAACATGGTCACCAGCCTCAGCACCCAGAAGAAAAGCAGTAAGTTTAGCAACAGCCAAAATCTCGCAAGCTCAAGATGGGCTGCACTTGCCATCCTCACTGCTTAGGGAGGTACGGATTCCGAACATGAACCCGTGGACTGCAAACGATCTCCGGGCGGAAAGTTGCCTTATCCTACCCAAGACACAAACGTCACAACACCTACCAGCCGAAGCAGCAGCTATACCGAGAGAAAGCCACGAGGCCTTCTTGATCCAATGCCAACCTACATCCCCAAACCCTAAACCCTAAACCCCAAGTTCTAAATCGAGAACTCGAACCATGTGCTGCAATGCCCCAAATCGAGCACCAAACCTGCAGCCTACTCGATAAGCCCGGAGAGGTAACCCTGAAACCTTGGCTAAATGCGAAAACCGAATGACCGGCTCTGGCACTTGGATCGAACAGTCCCCTTAGAACCTGCACCGGCTTAGGGCTTAGGGTCTGTGGTTTAAGCTGGAGGGTTGAGGTTTGGGGTTTTCGGGTTTTTCTGGTTTAGGCGTGTGGCTTTCTCGAACCAGAGAAGCCAAACCCCACCCTAAACCCGGAACCAACTTCGACCCCAAACCCTGAACGAAATTTCACCCCAAACTCCAAATCCCGAAAAGGCATGCGGCCCTACTTAACGAGCGAACAAAATCCCTAAAGGAACTTAACGCAACCCTCAACTCCAAACCCTGAAGTCCCGAAACTCTAGGCCCGAATCCCTGAGTAGACCCTAAATTCCCCAACGCACAACGTCACTGAGCCCTAAACCCGAAGTCCCTAAGTAAACGCAAAACCCCAAACTCACGAAGCCCTAAACCCTAATCCCTCAATCCTATAAACCTTGATTAAACCCAAACCCAGAAGCCCTAAAATAGGCCCTACCGTTGATGATATAAATCCTGCATCACCAAAAATTTCAAGTATACCTACGGTAATGTGCAGGATTTATATCATCAACAGTATAACCCTTAATCCCTAATCCACCGTCCTCCATGCAGGCTGTGAGGAGACCAAAGGCCGCATCGACCTCGATCTGTCCGTGCAGCGCACCTGGCCACCGGGGCTTCAGAGCTTATAGGGCTTCGTAGTTAAGGTTTAGCCTAGGGTTTAGGTTTCGGATTTAAGGTTTTCTTTTTTTGGGGGGGGCCTTTTGGTGACTGCACGAAGTACGAGCGCCTCAAACCCTTGCGGGTAGGCAACCGGGGCTGCATTGACCCCTAGGATTTAGGGTTTAGGGTTTCGGATTTAGGGTTTAGGGTTTCGGATTTAGGGTTTAGGGTTTCGGGTTTAAGGTTAAGGTTATCGGGATTCAGAGTAGAAGGCTTTACCTAGAGGGTCATACCCCACCTGGTACCCCTTTGTAGGGTACCTACGTTGCATATAACAGATCCTCACCATAACACAAGGTACCCTAAATTAGGGGCCGCAGCCCAAAAACCTAAATTTGAGAAAACCCCAAACCCCAAGCCGCAGGAATTTGCTTCCGTTGCTCGGACGTCTCCCGCCTATGACGCGGATCTCCTCGACGCTTGCCGGGAGGAGGACACAAAAGCTGGGAAACCTGGGTTTGGGGTGTCTTGGGTTTGGCTTATTGGTCTCTTGAAGCTCTGTGACATAACATCCTGCATCATGTTCGACTATTCTGCCATGTATCTACTCTAACTGGAAGTTGGTGGGCTCAAGACTTCTGAAGAAGGTCGTAGAGCCAGTATACGGTCTCGGAATTGACTTTGGAGGTTTAGGGTTCAGGGTTTAGGATTTTTAGAGCTCAGGCCTGGGTTTCATACATGGGACGAGAAGTATAAGGTGATGACTTATGACTTATGATACGGTTGATGATATAAATCCTGCGTTACCTATAATAGGGAGTATACCATAATTTCCATAGTCTAGGGTCCCTAAGGTAATGCAGGATTTATGTCATCAACCAGAGGAGTGCAGCAGCTGGTCGTGAGGCCGACTCAGTAGACAGCAGTCTGACTACATGAAGGCTTTGAACGAACCAGCTGAGCAAACATATAACATATATAAAAACAAGGTGCTGCAATGTGCATACATGTATACGTATGTGCATAGGCATAGCCACTTGCATCAATCCAGAAAGCATGCGATAAGCAAACAAATGTGCACGTGATAAAACTGAAAACTGCGTACACGACACACGCACACACAAACACTACCTAGCATACTTCTACAGCTATGCCACATACGTTACATGCATGCAAAGATGTCTATGCATCCAACTATTTCTATACATTGCCGTCAATCTGTTGATTCCTGTCTGCAAATACCCGGCCACCTATCCGTCCATATATTCTCTGGAGGAGTTGAGCATGGTTCGTAGTTACAGTTGGGCTTCAGAGTATACAGTTGAAGCAGGTACGAGAAGATCCTCGAAGATTCTGGTTGGAGCAGTCATAAGGATCCAGATTGGATTGCTCTCTCGTGGTAGGGTCGCTGGCAGTGGCAGGAATGTCATCCTAAGCCCGAGTTACAACCTGAAACATACACCTCCCTAAACCCTAAACCCTAAACCTTCGACCAGATCCGGTCGAGACGTTGCTTTCAGTCGAACAGCTGTCTGACGCGAATCATCTGCGCCACCTGCCGCAGGCTCTGGAGTTTAAGGCAGCCCAATCCTAAAGAGGCTGTTTAACAGACATGAACCACAATCAAAAAGAGGAGCTGCGCTAGAATTCGTTGTAAATAAATGCCAGCAGTCAGCAACCATCCCAGAGGGTCCTGAGTACCTGTTTGGGGGAAAACGAGTACATTAGCTTTCCCAAATCATAGCAGCAATTGAGAAACCTTACTTTCTACGCTATATATATAATATTATATATTATATATATTATATATATAATATTATATATATAATATTATATATATATTTTTATTTATTTATTTATTTGTTGATTTATTTATTTATTTATTTGTTTATTTATTTATTTATTATTAATATATATATATATATACATACATATAGGTACTTAGGCCCCCTCCCCACACCCCAAACCCTCAACCCAGATGGCCTGATGGGCCTCCATCCTTGCGACATCCCCGCCCCACACGACGAAGTTCTCCTGCAAACTCGGACGTGGGGGCTTTCGCGGGGATCGGAAGGTTTTGGGGCTTAGGTTTAGGGTTTTTGCCTAAGATTTTTTGGGTTTAGGACTTAGGCTTCGCAGTTGGGGATATCCGGACAGAGCTCATCACTTGGAGATCAGGGACTTGAAACCTGGCCGCAGAGGAGTATTTTTGGACCCCAACATCGACTATGATGGAGTATACGCGCCTACAGTACCACGATTCCCACTCCCTTTACAAATAACAAGCCTTTTCTTGCACTTCCATCCTACAACCCTGGCGCTGACGACCCTAGAACGTAATATTTCTTGAAGCGGTAAACCCAAAGACCAAGGCTCCAAGCTCGAAGCAAAACGAACCCTACATCCTCAAGTCCTGACCCAGAACTCGGATTTATGTCTGCCGCCGGGGATCGTCGAGCTGTTCGCGAATGAGGTCGTGGCCCAGAACGTCGCTGCAAAAGCTTTGCGAGTACCTAGCTTTGTTGAACGCCTTCTGCAACTCGCAAGCATGAATTGATACGAGTTTCATATCGCAATTTTCAGTTTTCCAGAACACCCAAAGGCTTCAATACCGTTCTCAATGGACCTTGCCACCCCAGCTGGACTACCTGGGGAATTGGGTACTATTTGCAAGAGCTTTCTTGTATCGGCACTGCTCCCACTGCCGGCCCTCCTAAACCCCTAAACCCTAGGTGTCACGTGGGCCTGGTCTGAGGGCTGAACTCAACACTCGAAACCCCTGAAAAGCCCATGTGCTCAGATACTATGTTCAGGGCTTTTTGTTTGCCGGACCTTTTTCCTGCTCGGAATGTATATGTTTAAGGTTTAGGGTACTTGGGCCGTAATTAATTTAGTCCCTATTCAAGGCTCTACATGGACTCGTGGGGAGGCTAAGCTGTAAACCGCTACACTTCGCTTCCGCTGTTCTAACAAGCGTTCAACACCTAGGGCTTCATGTGCGTCTCAGACGAAAACACATTAAGGCCCTTACACTACATTCAACACCCCCCCCCCTTATAGTAACCCTTATAGAACCCTTCCAGGAGGAACCCTTCATAGGGACCACAGCCCCAAACCCTGAACCCGGTCCGGTAAAGGAACCCTTTATCGTCCCCCCCCGGAGCCCTAGGAGGTATGACATGGCATAACATCTTTGGAGGCGTCGGACTAGGGCCGGCGCCTGGCATGTTCACCTGGAGCCAGGTGCAGTGCATTGTTCCCTTTAAGGGTTTTAGAACAAGGGTGCTATTGTGGTACAAGGGCCTGAAGCCATTGGAATACTGGAACAAGGTCTTGAGGGTATATACTGTAGTTCGAACAAGGACCCCCCCCCAATACTTCTATACTGTGTGGTTTTCATTCTTCTGTAGTTTTACTGTTGAGCCTCTTAAGCTTGCAGGGCTTTGGCTTCAGAGCTCTAAGCTCTGTAGGTTTCCTGGTTGAACGCCACAGCAAGAGGGCTCCAACTGCAACTCCCCAGAATCCAAAGCACCAATCTGAGATATCCAGATGCCTACACCCTAAACCCTACGCCACAAAACCCTAAACCCTAGACCTCGCAATTCTGAAATGTGCAAGGCCACCCCTGGCATGCTGAGCAAACTCCAGGGCTATGTGGATACCACATCACCTACAACTGCTGCTGCTGCTGCTACTACTGCTACTACTATACCTATACTACTACTACTACTACCACTACTACTACTACTACTACTACTACTACCACCATCATGTGTCCATCGCTTCGAGCCTGGACTGTTCCCAGGCCGACATGAAAATTCTGAAAAATCCCTGAACCCTAAACCCTGATACCCGAAACACTTAAGCCGCGGACCCGAATCCACAAAACCGTTCAAATCCGAAACGCTAGACCCCTAAACTCTAAACCCTCAACCCTGAAAGCAAAACCAAAACTCGCTAATCCTGGTCGGTCGGGTGGCTGTGCAGATAGACGACCAGCCTTGGCTGATGGGGCAAACTTTCCTGCTCCAGCCAGAGGGCTCAATGCCCCTTAACTAAGGTAACTAAGGGTCTGATCGAGTGTGATTGGATTTTAGAGGCCTTAAGTCAGCAAATAGACCTTGAATCATGAACAGGAGCCCTACATACCTCTTTATGTCTTCCAGTAAGGGCAGCAAGTCACGGGCTCAGGGTTTAGGGTTTTAGGGTTTCGGGTTCAGGGTTTAGGGTTTAGGGCTTAGGGTTTTAGGGCTTTGGATTCAGGGTGGGTCATCAATGTTGGGTCTGAAAAACGTGGGCCTAAGTCCGGGAAAATCAGGCCACTAGTACGGTATGAGGGCTCAGAGTGAGTATTAAGATAACCCTAAGCAGCCCTAAGACAAAAACACCCTACCCTACTCACAAAACCCCCAAACCTCAATTCTTACTGTAATGGAGGGGCCTGTGTTAATGCTTAGAATAGGGTTTTGGGGCTAACTATGCTACAGTATCAATGTTATCAAGAAACCTAGGGCCAGTATTCGTAGTTGTTCAAACTTCTATGTTAAACCGCTGAGGCACAGTTTCAGCTGCTGCCGCGCCGAGGAGATCGCTTGCGAGAAGGAACCCTCGTGGAACCTTAGGCGGAGCTTGTAAGGGCGCGCTGTAGGATTTAGGGTTTCGTTTTGTTTGGGTTTATAAAACACTCTACAAGCTGCACCGGGTTTCGTAGTGTTCTATGCGGATTTATTGGGGGATTTTGTGGGTTGCTGGTGCAACGCGCAATCATAAAACCAAAACAGGCAAGGCCCCAACCTCTCTTTATACCTGTCCTTATATATAGATATATATGTATATATATATGTGTATATATGTATGTGTACTGCATATATATATATATATATAGAGTAGACATCGAAGAACTCCCTGCTCAGTTCTAGGGCTTAGGGTTTAACTATATATATATATTTCTGTTGGTTACCTCAGTTTCTTACGATAGGAAGCCACGCAACAAGTTATGCAAACAAGGTACCACGTTCTAGGTGTCTAGGCAAGCTGCTCTAGGCAAGCAAGGCAGTATGTGCATAACACCCCACAGCCGGAACCCGAAAAGGCTTGGGGTGTAGGGTTGGTTACAGTGTAAAGGACTCAGCCAGCCAGTCAACAAAAATCGGACAAGATCAGCCAATGATAAGGAAGCCTCTAAATAGCAGTTGCCACGCTGTGCTACTACTCTTTCTCTCCAGCCTGTATATATCTACAGGAATCATGGTGCTATGCTGAATCGACAACCAACGCAAGTCAAAGCAGTATCATTGGCTCTGGTGTCACTGCACGCGAAACCATCCGAAATCCCAAGGCTTGTCTCCCAGCATCACCCAGAAACCTACATTCAAAATCAAACCGAAGAGAACCCGATAGCCTCAACCCGAATATCCAAAGCACATCCCGTATCGTAGAAGCCTTTTTGGACGCCTCTCAGACCCCCTTACAGAACCTATTGTGTGCAGATACACACATATACACACCAAAAGCTGCATGTAGAGCTGTATGTATACATATGTATATACATATGCATGTAAGAGTAACGTTTATCTATGATGCGGCGTTCCTGTCTGGAGTATTTAAACCGGGAGGGGTTTAGATAGCTTAGATAGTTTGGGGCCCGGGTGAGGACCCAAACTATCAAAACTATCTACACCGGGAGGGGTTTTGGTAGTTTAGGAGGCCCAAAAAACTATCTAAACTATCTAAATTGGGAAGGGTTTCAATAGCTTAGATAGTTTGGGTGGTCCGTGTGGGGCCCTATCTACACCGGTTAGATAGTTTAGATAGTTTGGGGTCCCCGGGTAAGGCCCCAAACTATCTAAACTATCTCAACCGGGAGTGGTTTAGTTAGTTTGGGGGAGCCCGCCCCAACTACCTAAACTATCTAAACTATCCACACTATCTCAACTATCTAAATCTAAACCGGGAGGGTTCAGATAGTTTAGATAGTTTGGGGGGCCCGGGTGAGGCCCCACACTCTCTAAACCGGGAGGGGCTTAGATAGTTTAGATAGTTTGGGGGCTCCCGCTGGTCTGGGACGAGGAGGGCTTAGATAGTTTAGATAGTCTGGGGGTCCCGGGTGAAGCCCTAAACTGCTTGAACTATCTAAGCTATCTAAACCGGAAGGGTTTTAGACAGTTTAGATAGTTTGGGTGATCCGCCTGGGGCTCAAACTATCTAAACTATGGTTTGGTGGCTCCCGATGGTCTGGGGCGAGGGTTTCGATAGTTTGGCTGGTCCGTGCGGGGCTCACTCAAACTATCCAAAGTATCGAAACCGGGAAGGGTTTGGATAGTCGAGACCGGGAAGGGTTTAGATGGTTTAGATAGTTTAGTTAGTTTAGATACTTGGGGGCTCCCGCTGGTCTGGGGCGAGGAGGCTTTAGATAGTTGAGAAAGTTTACATACATACATACATACATACATACATACATACGTACATACATACCTGCGTACGTGCGTACGTACATACATACATACATACATGCATACATACATACATACATACATACATACATACATACATATAAATATATACATACATACATATATATATATACACACAAGCAAACATCCATAAATATTCATACACATAACCTTGGTTTCGAAGTATGAATATCAACAGTATATATGTACATATTTATTTATCTATTCATTTGTTTGCTTGTTAATATAGTTAGATAGAAAGATATTTAGATGTGTATGTAGTATCCCATCTAGAAGTCTTGCGCTTACCTTACAGATACGTTTATAGAACCCTGATGCCCTCAGATCGGGAGTTAAAGTCTCTGTCTGGCGAAGGGGCTGAGGCAGAGCGAGCTGACCCCCATAGGAGTTTTGCAAAGCACGCCTTCAGGCAGCTAGGAGCTGAGGGGATTTAGGGTTTAGAGTTGTTGGGTTTAGGGCTTGGGATTGGCTTTAGAGGTTGAGGGATTGGCTTTGGGGCTTAGGGGTTGAGTGGCTGTAAGGTTCAGGGGCCTAGGGTTTGGAGCACTTGGGCCAAGGATAGAAACTTTGGGATTCAGAGTTTGGCTTCAGAGCTTTCAGTTTTAGGTTGTTTGTAGAACACTTTTTGTACCCCCCCATGTTATAGAACCTGCCCAAATCCCTTTCAGAACCCTCAACCCTAAACCCCTAAACCCTAAACCAGGACTCCATTTGAGGATCCTCAGTTCTCCCTTCCGATGAGACAAACCTGTAGGACCGCAGGAGTTTCGGATTGTTTTAGGGTTTAGGGTTTCGGATAAAGGCCCAAGGGGCTTAGTAGGGTTTAGGGTTTCAGGGCTCAGGGTTTAGGGAAGTAAAGTTACAAGTAGAGTTATAGTTTAGGATAAGCCTACTTAGGCTGTAGGGGGCGTATAACCCCCAATTGTAACCCTGCTATACTTCAGGATAACCTTACTTATCAGCTTAGGGGACTTATAGCCCCGATTATAGCCCGACTTCCTAAGTCCCCGGCGCCCCAAAGTAGGGTCCAGGGTTGAAGATTTACGGTTGAGGATGCTGTAGGACTTGGGATTCTGTCGTGTTTAGGGCTTATCGGGTTTAGGGTTTAGGGTATTCAGGGATTTCGGAGAGGGTTATGTCGGATATGCGTTTGGGCGGTTCTTGGAGCCGTTGCTACCAAAGCTACTACCCCTGCTACGTACTGCTACTGTGCTAGGGTTTCACTGTTGTCATCAGGATGAAACCCAGCAATGTATTTTGCATAGTACGAACCGCGCACCATTATGAGTTTAGGGTTTAGGGTTTAGGGTTACTGACAACATCGGTGCATACCACAGCCCTCGATACCGGGCGGATATTGGAACTGCGTCCCGTGTCTGCAATAGCACAACGGCGGGAACTAAAGTCGCAATAAGCATGAACGTATGTCACACCGACATCCCCTGAACCGAAGGGCGGACGCAGAATGCAAGTGGGTAGTTTCCAAGATAAGGGTCCCTTTTATAAGGGTGCCGTACTATATTGGTGACCTACAAGAGGACCCTTAATTTGGAGAACTATCCAAGCCGTGCCTGAAGGCGTCCCCCGAGGCAGGACCGCCCAAGTGCCCGCCACCTGCATACATTGGCAGGGCAAGGCCCGGGTTTTACAGCAGATAATACCCTAAAACCCTCAACCCCTAAACCCCAAAACCCTAAACCCAAAAACCCAAAACCCCTAAACCCCCTAACCCCCAAACCCTTAAGCCCCAAAATCCTAAACCCTAAACCTTAACCTCCGAACTTTAAGCCCTGCCGAGCCCGAAGAAAATCATCTCTAGGATGTTGGCCGGAGGCAGCTCAAGGGCCCTAGAGCCCATGAGAGCCCTTTAGGGTTTAGGGTTTAGGCTGTAGGGTTTATGAGAGCCCTATAAGTCCATTGATTGGACAAATCCTGTTTGAGTTTAGTGTTTAGGGTGTTGTGTTTAG